CCTGCTGAGGGCTAATTAAAGTGAATAAATCTAGTCTAAACAGACGGTCCATATGTTTTTGGAATCTGTTTAAGGAAATGTCATCCTAAATCAGACCAGTATATTTATGAGTGTAGGGTATCTTTTGGATACATTGGTAAAGGGAACAATGAGGAAAAGGCAGTAAAATTTATGAGGGCTTAATATTGGTCTCTATGAAGTTGCACAAAATTTCTCTTCAGTTTTGGAGACAGGAAGGTAGAGCAGCAGCACGTTTTGTGCCTCATGCATGTGCTTAGCAAGGGGAAGAAATCTGCAAGCCAGCCGTAACTTCCAAATACGATGGCAAACTGAAGCTTGTACACCTTATTAAAAAGGCATGAGGACAGTGATCCACAGAGTATTTTAGTAATGTCAATATTTTGCAACTGAAAGGTCAGTTGAGTGTTGAATTGTTTAATCTGTAAGTTTTACTTTGAATGCCGCTAATTCTCCTTCCTTCTGGATGATTGTTTATAATTGGGTTTTCCTTCTATATTACTGATTTGGAAGTTGCTGATAGACTAGAACAACTTCAAGTCAAGAACACAGAAGGGTTGTTGGTGTGGGTTTTTTGTTTGGGGTTTTTGTTGGTAGGTTTGGGAGAGGTGCCCCCTTTTTAGATGAACTGTCCCCTGCAGGTATGTTCAACTACTGACACACAGTGCTGTATATTCATCAGAACACACTTGGCTTTTGTTTGCCCTGCAGGTTACTGTCAATTGAAGAAATACTTAAGCTGCTTGGCAAGATAAAGTAGCTCATGGGGAAGTCTGAGCTCTTGACTGGGCCTGTTTCCTGAGTGATTTCATTTAAATGTAATAATTCTGTTTGGGTATTGCTGCTTTTTAGCGCAGTCTTTCCTGCTGCCCTTCAGTACTGATTAAAGCATATGTGGCACTCCTAGTAATAGTGAAATGGGCTTATTTAGCAGCTACAGAGGTCACAGTCAGTGCTGCTGTGTACAGGCAATATACTTTATAGACTCTGTCTCCCAGTGTAGAGTAGCTCAGTTTCTGGAGGGTATTTCTCACTCTGTTTTATATTTTTAGCACTGGTGCTCTTCTAAGAATAATTGAAGTCAGTGATAAATATACTATTAATTCTGGTGTACAGTGGTTCACTTTCCATGAGGTCCATGGCTATTCTTAGCCAATTAAAAACACACAAACAAAAACCCCAAAACTGTTAAACATAACAAAGGTTGTGATAAAACAGTCTTTGTAGGTGGTGAGAAACATTCACAAGATGAAGACCGCTATCTCTGACTTTCCCTGGTTGAAACATCAGTCTCACTGAAAGATTGACATTGAAATTTAGTGGAAATTAAGCATTGAAGTTGTGTCACCCCGGTTTTTGTAGAGAGAGACAGTCAATTATTACATTAACGTATCTGCTGCTTTGTCTGAGTGTTTGGAGAAGGAAGGAACTGCTGTGGAGCAGCAACCCTTCTTGTTTTCTCTCCAGATAATCTGGGATGCAGAATGAAGAATGCAAAAAAAATTCTCCCACAAAACAAGCTGTTCCTTTACAGGCTCCTAAAAAACACACACCTAGCAAATGCACCTACTCTTTTGCACTTTATCATCTGGGCGGGGTAAAAGAAAGGAATGGGTTGAGAAAAGGTAACCATTTTTTCTGCAGCCTTATAAATGCCAGAGCTCAGTGGTGGGTGCCAAGATATTTAGCCTTAGCTCTGCATGGTAGACTTCTGCTGTGGAAAGGTGTGTTTGTGTAAATCATTAATGCTTTTCTAGGATGAATGTTCAGAGATGTCAGTCTTCATAAATCCTTATCAATACACTCCCTATTGTATACAGCAGATTAACAAGATCTGCTGTTCTCCTCTGAGAACAGCTTTCTTCATGCTTTAGGACAGAAAAAATATTTTCATTGGTTTGTAGCCCAATGTTTTTGAAAGTTCAGTGGTCTGCTTGGTTTGGTTTGAGTTTTTATTTATAAAAGGGCATTCTGGAGTTTCTTTTTGTTTCATTGGTGTTTAAAAGAAGAAGAAAGAAGAAAATTGAGTGGGAAAATAAATAGTGATGGACGAGAAAGAGGCATCCGTTTTTTTTTTTCTGCCCTCAGCATTGTGTTGTATCAGCATTTCCCTAGATGACACTTGCTAAGCAAGCCAGTGAATAACCTCGGCTTCAGAGGAGCCACCGTGTTCTTCTATAAAAAGGGGAAGTCAGCAAGACATAAGTGTGTTTTGTTTTCCGTACTCTTAAGAGATTTAATTTACAACTGAATGCAGTGTCCCTCTTTGAACCATTATTTAGTTTAATTTTGCAAGTGTTCCTGTGATACAGCAGTCCTGTGGTTTGATGGGACTGCAAAAGAGGAAAGGTGGTGTGATGGGGAATTTTGGGGGGTTAGGGGTAGCATTGGGAGGAGTATGGTGGTATTTTTGGTAGAAAAGTAGTCCTTTTCCAAGCAGAATAGGCTGTCAGCTTAGATGTCAGTTTAGATACTCCCCAACCTGGACTACAGTACCTGCTTTCATTTGCAAGAAAGGGCCAGCTTCATCCATCCAGCTTTCTGTGTGTGGGTCTCTGACATCCTTTTATTTACCTGATAACTGGGACCTAGAGCTGGAATCCTTTAGCTGAAGTTGCTGAATGTATGTTCGATATTTTCCTTGCTGTTGCAGGTGTATTAGTTGGCAATGAAGTGGTGGGGAGCTCTCTGAAATGCAGGATGTCACAGGAAAGTTACATTTTTGGAGGCTACAGAGCTACTGGTAAAGTCTGAATTTTGATGTTAATTGTACGTAGGTCCCTGGGAACTGAACTGCAGGCAGACAGACACATTAATAGTCTAGATGAAGAAAATTGCACCTGTTTCAAAGAAATAACAAGTTGTAATAACATTTGATCGGTGCTAACCAAGACTGGTTTGCAGTGTGTATAACTTCTGAATGTCATTAGGAGTCATGTGGGTTTCTTACAAAAATCTTCCCTTTTATATATTTTGGGTAGATTCCGATAGAATATTTTTCACTGTGTCAGTTCCTTTTGAGTTTTGTTTGCTTTAAAAATACTCTAAAACGGTCTAAAGAACTATTTCCTGAACTTGGCAGCTGCTGTGCAGAAGCTTGTCTTGTTCTGAAGGGCACTAGGAATTTTCACACGCTTGTTTTAAAAGGCCAAATGGAAGTAATACTCTGGTGCCTGGGGTGCAGATCCACAGCCTTGTTGCTGTAAAAAAATGTTAAGCCAGTACAGCGAGTTCTGCTGTTAGCTAATGAAACTTCACATGGAGGATTTTATAAAATGACAACACTGTATTTGTTTTACTTCAGTGAGCCTTATATATTTTATTTTTAACATCAGTGAACATAAGTTTTTAAGGGATTTGGTTTCCTGAATTCAAATTCTATGTGGTTTGTTTTGGTTTTAATCTGTTACTGTAATTGTGCTATAGTTCTGGAGGAAACACGTAAAGGGCATTTGCTGACATGAGAGCTCCCCAGGAATCCTTTAAGGGAAGAAAAAAAAAAAAAACCACACACCACCACCAACTTGTGAGGTTTTTTTCCTGGTATACAGTGAGTATGAAAACCTTGACTTTAAAAAAAAATATATGCTTAGATATGGGTATCGTGGAAGAGACTGTCGAGCCAATGTTTACCTCCTCCCTACCGGAGAAATTGTATATTTCATAGCATCAGTGGTGGTACTATTTAACTATGAGGAGAGAACTCAGCGGCACTACTTGGGTCATACAGACTGCGTCAAATGGTTAGTAGATAACATTTGCATGTAAGTATGTGTGTAATAATGCAGAAACATATTTTTTTTTTATTCTCTCCTACTGTATATATGAACTCATTAGTGTCATCCTAATTGTAGATATTTTCTTTCATCAGTCCCAGTAGATTTCACTACAATAAACAGTGCACCAATAAACAGTGCTAGAGCAGTCCATGCTACATTAGGGTTTCTTGCTTAAATGTAAACCAATGGTGTATGTAGACAGTCTAAAAGTGCCAGATTAGAGAAGGGATCTTTGTGTAAGTTATTCTAAATAGATGTCCCAGCAATTAAAAATAGCTGTCAGCTTAATTGTTCATCAGTGGAGTATGGCAAAGGTGTAGTCTTAAAGAAGACTTAGAAAACCAGATTGAAAACTGAGCAATAATTTTCTCATTTTTTAGTAGATGCCCCATCCAAGTATTAAGACTGTCCGAGAAATCAGAAGGATGTTTGCAAAACAAAACAGAGAGAAGCAGGGAAATGGAAGCCAACGTTGTGGGTGCAAAGGCAGTTGCTAACTTCACAATGTTAGTCTGAAGCGTAATGCGTATAATGCGGTGGTGAACATCAGCTCCCTACTGTAGCTGCATGGAGGAGAGTTGTCATCTAAACCTCTTCTCTCCTGACTGTGCTTTGATAACTAATTGCTTCCTGGAGGAGGAATGCTGTTAGTCTTGTCTACTTGACTTTCATTCAAATAAAAAAAACTAGACTGAAATTTAAATGTTTTTGGTGTCTATCACTGACCTCTTCAGGCTTCCCCTTGGTTCCCCCTTTCCTGTTTCAATGGCTTTGTTCACCTTCGTAATTTTACAGAGAAAGCAAGTAAGAACAATGCTCAAAAAAATCATTAGGATGTGTACTCTGAAATTGCACTATCTGTTTTTCACATAAAATCCAAAGCAAGATGTGCTAAGCAAAAGCAGGTTTTTACTTACTCTAGTAGTGCACAACACTGGAGATTTCATTAGTACAGTTACATCAGTAACTCATTTTAAGTGGTGTGAAACCCTGATTCCTGGGTACACAAGCCCTCAGCCAACTTTTCAGCTGTTGTGGTGGGGTTTCCCCCCCCCCCATTCCCCATGCTATCAGTAGGTTTAGGCATAAAATATGCTATAGTTTTTCTAAATATGGCACATAACTACGTGTAGGAAGCTCATCATATGACCATGTATATTTTGTTACAGTGGACTCCTGATATAGTGCAGTCCTTAGATTTGTCAGAGCATGTGGAGGTGGCTTTTCTGGCTCTCCGGGTTTTGTGGCAGCAGCCATTGGAAGAGCCTGGTCAACACATCAGTACAGTGTGTAATGAAATAGTCTGATGAAAAACATTCAAGCTGTCTCATTAAAAGTGGGATCTATGATCATAAGTGTCTTCACAGGCTTCTGTTGAGAAAGAAAAAAAAAATACAAAAAAACCTCTCAGTTTTGAAGACCTGTGACAGCAAAAGCAAGTCATATTTCTGTCTGTCTTAGTCTTGCAGTTCATCCAGACAAAATTAGAATTGCAACAGGACAGTTAGCTGGAGTGGATAAAGATGGAAGGGTAAGTAATAGAGCTGTTGAGCAGTAGTATCTTGTTTTGAAAATCAGGAAAAAGTGTTTTGGACTTTTTAAATCTCATCATCACCTTCTATTTGCAGTTTATTTTATACACTGCAATTACTGAGATATTTTGTTGTTTCTAAGGCAACAGTGTTTATCTCTAGCAAAAGGCAGCAACAACTAAGCACTCAGCCATACATCAAAAAGAGCAGAAGCTCATAAAGCCCTTTATCTGTGACATAGGAAACTCAAATTTTAATTCTGCAAGCGAATGTGAAGCTTGTAATTGATTCATAAGGCCAGATAATTTCTGTCACATTTCTTTCAATGTCTTATCCCGGAGGAGTGGGTCAGTGTACTCTTAAGGCTTCATGGAAGAGGAAACCAACTTTGAGAACTCGTGGAAGGTGTTTCAAGCTTTCCTACAAACATGCTCTTTTGAGAACAAGTGCATTTAAATGCTCTTGTCCCTGGCAGTTGGCGAACTCTGTCAGAATTTGAATAATTTGAGTATCTTTGTGAAGTTATAGACAGAGGGGAAAACATAAAGACAGATACTGTGAGATGTAGAAGCACATTAAATATAACCCTTATTCACATGTTCAATGTAATTTCTTAGATTTTTTTAAGAAATTGTTGTGGGTTTTTTAATATAGATACTGTTATGATTTCCACTGAATGTTTGTTGAATTTCTTGTTAGTGCTGTTTGGTTTGTTTTTCCATCAGTGGGATGATTTATTGTCACTTTATATGGTTAATGCTGTCCTTAAGCCAACTGAATTCCCACCCTATTTGTGATTGTTTCACATTTGTGAAGCTAAGCTCAAGTATGGAGATTTTCATTGAGTGGTTGGTGGTGGTTAGGGGGCTCAGTGCACCAGCATTTTTGGGGTTGGGGTTGTGTTTTGTTGTTTTTGGTTTGGGTTTTTTTTCCTGGCCTCCTATTTTATATATAAAAAAGGAGGTTTGATCATTATTTTAAGTTGTTGCATAACATTGCAGAGTCTGGGGTCTGAAATGCAAGATGACTCTTCTGTTATTTGTTCAACAACTTAAATTGGGCAGAGATTTATTTTCACAACTATTAAATGCCACTGTAATTAATTTCTTGCCTCAACGGCAGTACTGTCATGCTCATAGCCAAGACACAGGGAGCAAGATTGTCTTGGCTCTCACCTTTTGAGCATCAAGATCCTGTCCAGCGGCATCGTTGGCACAGGTCATCCTGCATTTCGGTCTGCAGTTTGTAGTTCAGGTAGCATCTGCTTAACAAAACTTGATAACGTGCATGCAATGCTTTCACTGTTGGTGATGCCGTTTGTCCCGTTGCTTTTTCACGCAGCCCCTGCAGCCCCATGTTAGAGTATGGGACTCGGTGAGCCTGGTGACACTTCAGGTTATCGGCCTTGGGACTTTTGAACGTGGCGTGGGCTGTTTGGATTTTTCAAAAGCGGTAAGATGGGTATGATTACTTGGTGTGTTAAATAAGTGATCCAGTCCTATGTAAACAGAAAGGAAGTCTCTGGAGATTTTTGTACGTGGCTGTGTAGCTGATCTGTTTGGTATTAAAAGTGTGTCAGGGAAGTTTATGTATACTTTATAAAACCAGCTGACAGTGAGCTAGCTGGAAAAACAGGAAATTGCACATGTAAAATTGCGGTAACAAACTACCACAGTGAATAAATAGCATGCAAGAAAAGCCTTCACTAGAAATTAAAGGCTATACTGGCTTTGGTTTGGTTTGGTTTTGTTTGTGGGGGGCTTGTTTTTCTGTTTGGAGCTTAAGAACAAGTTTGTTAGTGAGGTTCGTTAAGGCAAGTTTTAGTGAGTTCTGACAGAAAGTGTAAATTTTCTGCTTGCACATTTGGAGTAGGTTTTTATTCACCAACAGGAAAAAAAAAAAAGGCAGAAAAAGAAAGCGCACCAAAACTCCACAACGTTATCTTGTGCTATTTTTCCCACAGAAACTTATCAGAAATCAGTAGCAAATGAGGATGTGCTGCTTGGCAGTGATACAGTTCTCATTTCAAAGTTGGCAATGGGTTTCCTTTGTGCAAAATACTGTGTGTGTTTTAATCTTTAGGCTGCCTTTGTATGCTCGCCAAAGCACTGACACGTATCAGGCCTCCTGAAAACGCATGCTGTGATTCTTGCATCCCAGCAAGAATTAATACACATAAAAAATGAAAGATTTGGAAAAAGAATGTCTCTCCTGTATTTTGCTAATAGAGGGAGAGATTAACAGGACAGCTGAAGTGAGCAGGAAGGTCTGGAGATCATCTCACCTTCCACTCGGGGCTGTGGTCCAGCTGGGTTCTGGGTATCTCCAAGGATAGAGACTCAACAGTGCCACTGGGCGACCTGTTGAAAAGAAACGCTTGCACTCCCTTGCTGCAGTTTCACTTCATGTTGAAATGTTTCTAGGTCAGTTATAGCTAGGTTTCAATAAATAAATGGGGGGGTTTAATTTTTTTTTTTTTTACACAGATAGGGAGTAGCATAAATGACGTGGCACAGTGCGAGAGGAATGCTGTCATTCCTATCACTCTAACAAACCAGTAAAACTTTTGAACTCAGTTAACTTTTTTCTTTCAAGACGAACAAATGTATGTTCCATCAATGTAAAAACAAAATTAAAAAAAAAGTAAGGAATTTTTGAGTACTAGAATTTAGTTTTTCTTACTTCTGTTTTGCAGCTAAAATTGGTTTTGATACCTTATTAGAGTCTCATGATTCCTTACTAGACTGAAACAGTGAATGTGCAGTGTTTAGAACTGTGTTTTTACCACATAATTTCATTAACCCATGCAAGAGCTGTGTATGTCTCCAGTGCTGTCTTCAGGGTGTCTTTCCACTTAATAATTGACGTGTATTTGCATATTACTGCTCGTAATAGTATTTAGGAATAAAAATTTCAGCCACCTCTATTTTCATAATTTGTTAGAGAATGCGGTTGAACTGCAAGAATCAACTTTAAAATAAATAAGGCCTCCTCCAAATCTTTCTACACATGTCCTTGAAACAACTGGTTTGTGCAAGTATGTGTTGCTGTGAATAAGTATGTTGTTTCCTAAGATATTCTGTCTGTTTCTTTAATTCCACATAGCCATATTTACCAATTTGTTGTAAAATTGTTCAAACTAAGCCATTTCAGTTATTTAATACTGTAGATATCAGTCTTTCTGCTCTGTAGCTATTATTTTATTCAGAAAGTTGTTGCATTTGCTGCAGTTTTGCAAACTTTGTGATGAAACTGCTGATCCTTAACGCTCCATGAGGAAAAAATGAGATGGGCTTATGAAATTTGATAATGTAAATTTGTGTGTATGTAATGATGACATTTAAGAAAAAAAAAAAATCCCAAAAACCACACAAGTAGAGCCATGTGTCTGTCCTCTGTGACCAGAGGAAAAAAATGTATTTGCAGAATACAGAAAGGGAAAACCTTTTCCTACTGCCATGATTTTGCAAACAAGAAAAAAAAAAAGACAACAAAAACAAACTAAAAGGGAAAGACTTTCAAAGATTTCCTAGAATAGTATTTCAAGCATGGTCATTTTTTTTGTGAGATCATGCAAAAATCTGTGTTAGTCGTCAAGATTAAAAGGGAAATACCAGGTATATCAAGCTTGTAATTAATCTAAAAGGACTTGCTTTATTTATATTCTTACCTTTTTTTTTTTAAAATACTGCTACCCTTGGGGTATGATAGAACTTTATTAGCACTGGTTTTTTTCTTTTTCTTTTAGGATTCTGGTACTCATTTGTGTGTAATTGATGACTCTAATGAGCATATGCTTACTGTATGGGATTGGCAGAGGAAATCAAAAATAGCAGAAATAAAGGTAAATATTGCACAAATTAATATTCTGAAATACAAATCTTTTATTACCATAAATACAACAGTTTGAGACACACATTTGATCTCACTTGGAAACTGCATCTGTGTAATATGACTGTGATGTGTAAGGGCACGAATCAAATATATTCTTAATATGTATATTGAAAAGTTTTTGAACATTGGAGCACTTCTAATTACATTTTACTCATTCCTACAAGCCAGGCCAAATAAAGCATTTCTCTAATATTTTCCTAATTTAAAAAAAAAATAATCCTGGGAACTTTAAGAAACTGAAACGATGATTCAGTCTGTAGTTGTTTAAAAAAAAATACTTTTAGACATTCCTTATTTTTGTATTTGTCTGAATCAAGTTCCAGGCACTGATTCTTTGGTTCATGTATTTCTTCTCATTTGAAGTCTCTTAGTACTTTTGTAGATTGCAATCTTGTCTGCTTTCCTGTTTCTTTTGTAACCTTCTACATTGCTGATCAATGGGAAGTGTTCAGAGGTGTTATAACTGAGGTGTTTATAACCATAGAATCATCATAGAATGGTTTGGGTTGGAAGGGACCTTACAGACCATCTAGTTCCAACCCCCCTGCCATGGGCAGGGACACCTTCCACTAGACCAGGTTGCTCAAAGCCTCATCCAGCCTGGCCTTGAACACTCCCAGGGATGGGGCATCCACAGCTTCTCTGGGCAACCTGTTCCAGTGCCTCACCACCCTTTCCAGGAAGAATTTCTTTCTGATATCTAATCTAAATCTCCCCACTTTCAATTTAAACCCGTTACCCCTTGTCCTGTCCCTACAGGCCCTTGTAAAAAGTCCCCCCCAGCACCCTTGTAGCCCCTTCAGGTACTGGAAGGGGCTGTAAGGTCTCCCCGGAGCCTTCTCTTCTCCAGGCTGAACAAGCCCAACTCTCTCAGCCTGTCGATGTGTTATGCTCAGTGTTCCTATTAAGTTGATTCCACTGGAAACCCCCAATCCAATAATAATTTGCTGTTGAAGTCCATGTTTTGAGACATCTTGCTTTGCATTATACAGTATCAAGCGAGGAGATATTACATGGATGTGGAATTTTTTTTCCCACTTTTTTAAAATCATGAGTCAGCAAGTGGCATACATGCTTGTAGAGTATGTCCATATGACTATAGACTTGCAATTTCAGATAACAAAATGAGGTTCGTTTGACCCGCTTTCTTTAAATTTTGTTAACCTTGACCAATATTAATTCTATTTTGTACATTTTAATATAATTCTATGTCAGTATTTTCATTTCCTTGCTAATGTTTAATGTAAAGCTATTTGTCATATGCCCTGTATTTCCTATTTTATTGACAGTATGTTTTGACTCTTCACTCTCCAGGGAGTTCCTTGGTGTTTTAGAATTGGATAAAAACGATTTGGCAGGGACTGCTTGCCCTTCAGTACTTATTCATGTTTAGGACTTGATCTTGCAGATCTTGCACCTTCCACAATAGGTGGTGGGAGCAAAGTTTTGTCCCTTGAGCTGGAGTGCAGACCAGAAGCCTTTTCTCAGCTGAACCTGATTAAATTTTTCAGTCCTTAGTTTCCATCTGATTTGTGGACATAGCAGATCTGCTCAGGTGGAGGAAAGTGTGTGTGAAAAGAGTAATTCAATAAATATGGCCATCAACAATAAAAACGAAACTTAAGAAGGTGGTTTTCCTTAAAGGAACCAAAAATGCTGAAGTGGGAAAGGGTACTCCCACAGCTGCTGATTCAGCAGAACTTTTAAGTATACTCCTTTAAAGCATGGGCTTATATTGGATACAAGTAAATGCATTGATACACTGATTTAAGTGTTTCTAGAGTCATCCAGCAGATTGTGTTCAGGCAGTTTGGTTGAATATACATTAGAAGTTGGATAAATGGCCAGTCAGTTTGTTAGGTTTGTAGAATCTATTGATAACAGATGAAATAGTCACGGAGGTGTTAGTAATTCAGTAACAGTATATGCAGCTGGTATAACCACCAAGGTGGGACCCTATGTTTCAGAGGGTTTGAGTTAGGCCGGCTTCTTTTTTTCTTCTTTGTGTGGAAGAAAGGAAAGGAAGAAAGAACCCAAAGGGGTCGTTACAGAATTTCAGAAAGAGAATGATGGATATCGTCCTACTATGTTACTATTCTCTCACAGCTGTCACTGTCACAGCTTTTTTTATCCAGAACAGCAAATGACTCTGTGCAAAAATGAAGCAGGGATTTCAAACCAAAAAAGTCTTCTATACATCATTCACTTCCCATGTTAGAAGTGTTAGGTATTCCAGTGGGCAGAAGCTTTTGTGATTTAAAAAGTGAATGTAAACCCCTGATTTTTATGAGTGTAAAATACTTTAGTATAAGAGGTCTTTATAAATCAATCAAATACAACAATATCTGCAGTCATTCAGACAGTTGATTTAGCACGGAACACTTACAGATTCTTTCAAGCATACCATGAGCTGTCTAGTTCCTCATATCTCTGTTCTGAAACTGGGGATTTTCCATGTGTTTCTAGCAGTTAATGTCCCATCTGAATAAATATTATTTCTGTTACTATTTCAGACTACAAATGAAGTTGTTCTTGCTGTAGAATTCCATCCAACTGATGCAAATACCATAATAACATGTGGCAAATCTCATATATTTTTCTGGACCTGGAGTGGCAATTCATTATCAAGGAAGCAAGGGATATTTGGGGTAAGAATGTCTTGATATCAGGTCAGTTTTAAAGCAATGGTATGATCTGCTCACACTTTCTATAGACTTACTCAATGTAACCATGTGCTGTTTGAGTTTGTTTGAATGTGAATGTAAACCCCTGATTTTTATGAGTGTAAAATACTTTAGTATAAGAGGTCTTTATAAATCAATCAAATACAACAAACAAAACAAAAAAACCCAAAAAACCATTAAATTCTGCTTCCGTGTATGCAGGGTGTTTGGGTGTCAGTACGTTATACTAATTACGTAAAGAGTACAAACAATTATCCCTTCCTTTTGCTTATTTTGTTTCAGAAATATGAAAAACCCAAATTTGTTCAGTGTTTGGCTTTTTTGGGAAATGGTGATGTGCTCACTGGAGACTCAGGTGGGATAATACTTATATGGGGCAAAACTACTGTAGAATCTACTCCAGGAAAAGGACCTAAAGGTAAGATACATTCACAGATAATCACATATTTTAGGTAGTCTGTAGAAGACAAACGTAGAGGTGTGTATTAGAAAAGGAATAGGGAAACAGGCCTGACTAAGGGTGTAAACTCCCTATTATAAACAGGTGGTACTAAACTCCTTCAAGTCTCATTAATTTGCTGAAAATAGCAATCTAGGGTTTCTCCATAATTAATGAGACTGTGCCCGAATTGAATGAACACTACTTCATCTAAATGTTTTGCATTTAAAATACGTGCAGCTAATCAGGTTTCCTTTCATCCTGTGATTTGAAAAAAGGCTGTAGGATCAGTTTGAGGATTCTGCAGGCTGACTTTGGCTCTTAAAGCTTATGTTGTACCATGGTTAGTCTCAGAGGAATACCATTAAGTGTTGAAGCTGATGTTAATAGGACTTATGTGTGAAGGAAAAATATAAAGTCTGGTTGTACCAGTTACGCAAATAACAGTATCTGGTTTAGCAGATACTCAAGTCTTGGCTGTAGAATATACTTTAAAACCCATCTTATTTGAAGTTTGGGTTAAACTTATTCTTTAGGGCAAAGCTTTTGTGAAAAAGAAAGGAAAATGATTTGTTACCCAACATATGCAGACCTGGCACGGTTGAGCCCTAAGGTAACTTATAAATTCAGGGATAATTTATTTTGCTTGGCAGCTATTTCAAACACTCTGGTTTAAATTGGTATGCCAGGAAAACATTCATGTAAAAAGTAAATTTTTAACAGTAAGTCTGTTTTTGTAGGTAAATCTTTCTTGTCTTTCAAGCTAACTGCAATGGAAAAGTAATTGAACAAATTATCTGATGTTTAATTTTGAAGTTCTTGTGCAAAAATAACCTTTTCCCACTATAATCTTGAAAGATATTGAATAGAATATTTATTTACATTGGCTTAATTAAATACGGGATCTTTTTAGTTGGTTTATCACATTAGATTGGTCACAAGGCTTGTTCTCAAACTCTTTTCTCAGTGCGAGAGCCTGCTGACTTGAACTGACTTGAGCCGTAGGCAGTCATCAACGTTCAGATGGTATTTATTTGGGTGGTGTTTTAGGCTTTTTCTGTGATTTCTATTTGAAAATATGCAAGTCTGAAAGCACCAGAATCTTACTTTTTTTCCCAAATATAATTTCCTGTAGCAGTTCTTTTGAAATGAAGACCCAATTATGATGCAAAAGGCTTCCTTTGCTACCTTTGCAGTTTAATTTTCTCATCTCTTTCATTCTTCCTAATGTTTTACTTTGGGAAGACTGCTATATGCCAAATGCTGGTTATACTATTTTTAAGTAAGGCAACATCCAGCATTAGATATTAGGTTCATGCATCCTGGAAACTTGGCTATAAATAATTTGCTTTTTAATCCCATAAGACTATAGACAAGAACTCTTTGAGTTTGTTTTAATAAAATAACTTTAAATATTTTTCTAATAATGACTTGCTAAATATTTACTGACTCTAAAGAACAGTTACTCTTGCATCTGGAAAAACTGTTCACTTGGATAGCAGAGAAATTAAAAGATTTTGGAAATAGTTGTTCTTGTCTTCACAAGTTGTAGGATAGTCAATCTCAAAAATGTTTCTATTCAGAAATTCAGGCCCTTTAGTTTTTTCTTTTTATCCTGTAAGAAAACACTACCACCTTGTGTTTGCAATACTGATGCAATGCTAATAACCTGACAGTACAAATGTAATTATTTATTACACACTGTTACTTAAATCTTCTGTCAAAAGGCACAGCTTCTTGTAAACCTCATGTGAAAAAATTAGTAGTGTCTTTTTTTTTTTTTGGTGCATGTAGGAGTATATCAGATAAGCAGACAAATCAAAGCTCACGATGGCAGTGTGTTCACACTCTGTCAAATGAGAAATGGGATGCTGCTAACTGGAGGTGGGAAAGACCGGAAGATCATCCTGTGGGATCATGATTTGAATCCTGAAAGGGAAATTGAGGTAAGAAAGCAGGAGTGACAAGGAAATTTTCCTCGAGTAAGGTATTGACTAGCAAGACAGATCCCACCCTGCCCTTTGGACAAGGAGTTGTTAGGATGACAGAATATCTTCCGGTTTCTGTCTTTTTAAGTGGATGGTGGTGTTTATGATAGTGTTTCAATTTCCAGTCTATAAATGAGCCTACCCGAGGCTTCGATTCGGTTCTGTTTAAGTGAACAAAAATGGTCAGGTTTTAATTTCCTCCAAGCCCTCCCTTAGATTCTTTCATTTGTCCTTTTTTTGAGGATAGTCTGTATCACCTGTGTTTTGGTTAAGTTTGCCTGTCTGGAGAAATGTATTACTAGGAATTTAGAGAATTTTTGATGCAAGACAAACAATAGGTAACATACATATGGGTACTCTGTAAGAATGCGAGAGCTGTGTTGAGGAACTTCTTTTGATTTCAACCTAAGCCAGGTGTTTAGTGAACATATATGTCTGTGTGGTTTGGCTGTATGGCAGTGCCAGGTAAATGGGGATGAACTGGAAAAAATTCTGTTATGGATTTTAAAATACTTTTTTTTTTTTTTTAAACAATAAGATGACCTCTTGAAATAACGTGTTCTTCTTCAATGGTTGTTCTGGTATTGGTTCACACCACTTACCTCGTATCCATTTATAGCAGCATTTTTTCCTTAACATATATAGTTAGTTCGAGCTAGAGTTTGTTATTACCTTGAATCCAATACTGACCTTTTAGAAAGCATGCCTGAGAGTAAGTAAACATTGACTATCATATCAACTCTTAGACCTGAGTAACATTCTCTATGCATATCCCTGCCTCTGTTTTCCTTTTGTTAATAATGTTATGTTAAAACTATTTTTTTTAAATGTAAACACTGCCAGAACCCTGACACACAACTTTCTGAATGTCTGTATGGATTTTCTGTCTTCTGGGGCTGATAATAAAGTTAGTGTATTTTCTACAGATAAATCATTTAGAAACCCAAATACACACAGTAAAATAAAGCAGTGTAGTAGAATCCAAGCAGGCAATAAACTTTGTAGTCATTGCTAACATAAGGCATATGAACATTTACTTAAGATTAAGCATGAAGCACTAAGAATCAGGAAGGTCAGGAAGCATTTACTCTGTGCTACAAGATTTGGGGTGTTTTTTCTTATTTTTCATGATGTCTTTTGAAAAGTGAACAGTAACTCTGTATTATTAATACCCTTATATGATGAGATGTAAGGATGTGGAACGCATTTATTGAGTGCGTTTGACACTTAAAAACACATGGACCTTAATTTGTATTTTTTTTTTTTTTACTCAGAACGTTGGCAATGGCATAATTGTGATTGTTTTGGAGTGAGATCCTCATGTATATGCCTGTACTGAACAAATAGATGGGTTTCAGGTCGAGTCCTTGTCTAATGTATACATGATTAGATTATTTTTACTGAAAGAACTGCAGTTCTGATATGTCTTTGTGCACTGTTTGTGGGCTTCAGAAATAAGTCCATGTTAAGATGCGTGGTGTGGCTTTACAAATGTTTCTTTTCCTAGGTTCCTGACCAGTATGGAACAATCAGAGCAGTGGCGGAAGGAAAAGCAGATCAGTTTTTAGTGGGTACTTCACGAAACTTTGTTTTGCGGGGAACATTTAATGATGGTTTTCTAGTAGAGGTACAGGTGAGCACTTTTTTTTTTTTTTTTTTAACCCCAAACCATAAAGGGTTTCCCAGCTGATGTGTTATTTTAAGGGTCTTTATTTTATTCATTGTTAAATCATGTGCATTTTCTTTCCAGGGACATACGGATGAACTCTGGGGACTGGCATCCCATCCTTTCAAAGACTTATTTTTAACATGTGCTCAAGATAGGCAAGTCTGTATGTGGAACTCTGTGGACCACACACTGGAATGGACCAGACTGTTAGATGTACGTCAGCCCTTCAACATTACATGTGAAGTTCAAAAACAGGAAAAAAGCATTAATTTTCTGAAGCATCCTTGTCCCGTGTGGTTGCAAGAGAAGCAAATATCCTGTAGTTACATCATTAAAAAAAGCTGTGTGGAAGCTTTGATAAAACTTAACCAGGCTTTTCACACATGGTATAGCCTGTAATCTGGTTACCATCGTCTGATGCCATTCTAACAATCCAAGTGAAATACAACTCAACGTCCTTTGCTCTTGGTAGAGTTTAACTTTCATTCCAATTATTCAAACAATTTGAAGACGGTATCATACAAATGTGCAAGATTCAGCTTTAGAAGGCCTTACTTACTGTCATATTTATGTTTTGGCTAATTCTGTCCTAATGTCCAACCAAAAATACCTCTTTTTCAGAGAAATTTAGACTTTTTATTTGCAAAAAGGTTGTCATCTCTGTCATTGATACATTAAAAGAAAATCAACCTGAGAATTGTAAGCATGCTCCTAACTAATTAGTTTTTCACTGTATCCGTTCACCTCAGGCTTTTAGAGCAGCTTTGATACAAGAAGTGTTTGACCGTAAGGAAGTGTGGGTGGGTGAATGACATGTTTGCCTCTTCTTTCAGGAACCGGGACACTGTGCTGACTTCCATCCCAGTGGAGCAGTGGTTGCAATAGGAACGCACTCGGGCAGGTAAACGCCTTTTGACTGAATTGTGAAAGTTTAAAGGAGGTAATTTCATACTAGACATCTTATATATTGGAATTCATACATAATTTGATTTTTATTCATTTTGCTTGAGGTGAAGAAGCCTAAAATCTTGGGGGAAGAGGCCAGACCTTTCTTAGGTGGGTTAGATCAAGACAGAAGAATTATTTGACAGTTCTTAGGCTGGTTTGTTTTTTTAACTACTCTTTCATGAAAGCCCAGGTGTTGATCTTTTCTTTTTTTTTTTAATATTTTTTGTGGTGGTTTCCATGAACTTATTGGCTTTACCAAGTATCATATATTTTAAAAATCTCTGTGTAACATTTGTTTATAAGACACATACAGTGCAGGTCTTTCTCCTTCCAGAATCAAACACACTTGCAATCTTCTAAACTGACATGGAATAGCAAGGGAACAGGCTAGTATTTTGAATTTGTGTAAGACAGAGCTCAGCATGGCACACTGCTGAACAAAGTGCTGTTGAGCTGTTCACATTCTTTCTTAAAATGGTTGCTTATTTGAAAGCTATCAAAACATAAGCCAAATCTTTTAACTCAGGCTTCTTTCAGTGGTGTTTTCAATTCATATCCAAACTCTGGCTTTGTATTATCTCCCAAGAAAGGAATCCCTTGCAATGGATTTTTAGCAAGTAACAAAATTAAAATGGGATATTCATAGCATTAGAAATGTGAGAGGAGCAGACAGTAAATTTACTGGCATTTTTATTCTGTTTCTCAGTTCTACTTCATGTTTGACAACTCGACGATAAAATAATGCTTAGTGCATGTAAGAAAATCAAGGGAGAGGGGTGTAATTTGCCTCCCATAATGTTTTTGGGGTTTTTTTTCATGACTAATACCCATTTAAAGTTTGGTTTTAAGAACTGCTGAACATGAACACCACTCCTTAACTTTCCTGGAAAAACTAAATGTTCAGTAGTTTTTAAGGAGTTTCCTTCTCCAAAATGAAGATCCAGTCTTCACTAAATCCCTTAGGTATAATATCAGGCTAGAAAACATAGTTTACCTTCCTAAGAAAAATCTTGCTGAGCAATTCTTACGTTTGGTTTCCACATTGTAACTTCTATTTTTTCATCTCTTTCTAATTATATCATTAAATTGAACAAGTGTTTCCTCATTAAATAGAGCACAAGATACTGACCTAATAGTACTTGAAACAGAGGAAAGAAAGAAGGAGGTCAGGCTACATTTCTTGAGAGTTATTAGACGTTTTTGAAATTACCTCAGAGCAAAATAAAGGCATGTTGAGCAGCTGAAGCATTCCATCTTGCGCTTGCTTTTGTCTTTTTTTTTTCGTTTTCCTCCCAGAGTTTTTTAATTACTTTTTCAGTTCAGCTCTTTTCAGTTTAAATTCATATTTTTGAATTACTTGAGGCAACTGTTTTATACTGTGTTGGCTACAATTTGTGGATTGGTTTCTTCTTCTTTTTCTCTTTTTTTTTTTTTTTACCCTGTTGTTCTTGGAACTGAGCAGTTCTATTTTGACCATTATATTTTATTGCATTCCGGAATTGCGTGATTCAGTGATCGGTTTGAGATATACAAATGAAACTGAATTGAAATGCGGTCTGGTAAGTGTACAAGGGTATGAGAAATAAATGGAGTTGTGAATCAAGATAAACAGAACAGCTTTAGATTTACTGCCTAACCAGCGGCATCACGCGGTGCTCTCTGTGCCAGATAATCCAGTCCAAGGGAGTTACTTCCCAAGGAATGAGGGCTGCATGATGTATCTTGATTAACATATGAGAAAATAGTCCCAAGCCCTTCAGTTATTTAATAACTAACTTGATTCATAGCTCAAAATGCATAAAGCCAATATTAAATGAGACTAATTTGTTTAGAGTTCAATAGACCTTGAGTGCGTCTGCGTATTGCTCTGGTGCTGCTCTGCTTCCAGTACAGAGCTCAGCAAGACATGGGTAGGGAATGGAGCATTAAGAAAGTTGGGTTTGATGGTTAAAATTGGGACATCTGAAGAAAACTGAATCTTCTAGCTCTCTTTCCATTCTTGTCAGTTGTTCCACAGCGGTACATTTTTATCAGGCCAACTCTTCATGGTTTTGATGTGCTTTTCACATACCGCTTCCCATGAGGATTTTGGTATCGTTTCCCTTTTTGGGCTGACTTCAAATGGGCTGCTCCAGGTTTTGTTAACCACCTCCTTAAATACCTTCTGTGTGCCTGATCATCAAATGTCTGGGATTAAGTTTGGTTTGGAGAACTAATACTTTTTGTGGATCCTGCTGTTTGCTAGAAGTGCACAGCTGAAAAACTAGATAGAGCTGGCAGTCAGAGACCCTACCAGAAAAGTGGGTTTTTCAAGGCACTATGCAGATCCTTTTGCCATGCTGTGGCATTCTTTCAGGGAGGTAGATCTTTCTGTGACTAATTATGTAGAATATTTTGAGTGCTGTGCACTGCAAAAAAAAAAAAAAGACTGATATGATTCTTAGAAAAATACTAACATTATTAAGAAAACTGAAGGCTGGAGGACAAGACCAGCATAAGCCAGAGCCACAAGGAGGTAAATCAGTCAAAAGCGCTATTGAGATTTATACCAGTTCAGCATCTCTTGTGCTGTTATGATGAAGAAGCCTAAATATTCCAGAGAATCAGTCTTGTAAGATGGGTTGGTTTGTTCCTTCTGATTATTGCCTTGCAGGTTCAATTATCGGTATTAACTAATCTTGAGATTTACAAGTGTAAGTGCAAAACTATATTATTACTTTGGAGTAGTTTCCCCGGTGATTTCTTCAGAAAATTCCTGCGTTCACAGATGTGAATTATCAGTAATAAATGTCTGTCATGGATCATAATTTATTTTCCAAAAGAGAACAGTTTAAGGGATTTTGTTTCGAAAAACATTTTTTAGATAGGATATTAGTGTTTTTTTAAAAGCAAAGGAATGGCAAGACAAGAAATGGATGAGCATTTGGAAGATTGAAGAGAGCATGTCTGATGCCAGCTTGTGGAAGCATCAAGAAACAGCTGAACTAGATGTGACCAGTGCATCCTTAATATCAACATTGTTTTCACTGTTTTCTCAGTCAGCTAAGGTTGCTGCTGATAGGTTGCAGCATCAAAGGACCTGCCTAAAGAGCTGGTCCAGGGCCATCATCAAGAGGTATGTCCCTGCCACAGCAGCCTCCCTGCCCTGCCCTGGTCGTGTATTTTGGGACACAGGATGGGGTCAGCCCTCCCCTTGGCTGTGTGGCAGAAGCTCTGTGTAGCACAGTTACCCACGGGTGGGCATGGGAAGGAGGTAGCCATCCACTTTGTGGAAGAAGGCTGCTTTTCGTAGTTACTGTGCTCACAATCCATTTTTATATTCAGACACTGCAATTATGCTATTCAAAACAAGCAAGCAGGCATCATGCTGTGTCGTCTTGCTAGATCAATGGATTTTAAAGTACCTATCTTCTGTTTGCTGTCCCTGCATAAGAGGTGTGTTTCCCACCTGGGCTGCGGCAGTGAGGAACCTCCACCCTGTGCTGGGGTCAGGACAACTCAAGTAAGAATGAGACAGTGGGACATGGGCATTCATCCCAGCTTCTCATGTTGCTTGAAAACCAGACAATTTCAGCTCAGTGGTGCCTCCATGAGTGGTCTTCACACTTCTGTTATTGTCCCATCAGGATGTACTCTTAGAGCAGCTTTGTTGTCATGATGGAGTGATTGTTTTTCTCTCTGTGGGGGCAGAATGGCATAGGTACCCTCTCTCTCCCTCCCTGCCAAAGACTTCTGTGGTTTTGCTTCTCTTTTAAAAAAGAATTCATTTTGGTTTGTTCTTTAGTATCCACACCCCTATCAGGGTTATCAGCCAGGTAACATTTTAGTGAAGCATTTGGCAGGGCTAAAGAGGGACATAGTTTGAACTAAACAGAGCAAAATAAGGACTTGTAACTCCTAATGAGTTCAGAGAATCTGCAAAGCTTCAGTGCGTAGATTGGAAGAAATCAAAAGTCCACTTTCAGCAGAGGAATACAACAGAGAAACTCTGAGCATGGTTTCTACTGATGTCCAGTGCAAACAGATAACCTGTTTTCCACTGGTTCCATATGTCTTGCACACAGAGAATTCAGAATTTCGTGGCATGTTGAGCTGTGGGGGTTTTTTTATCCATGTGTTGTTTAATTTCTTTTATGTGGTTCTCTAAATACAAGCTGTTTTAAGCCAGTGGGACCAGGCCTCTTTCCAGATACCTAGCTGCCGGGCACTAGATCAACACAAGCTGGAATATCATCTCCATCCATAGAAAGCAGCGATGTGCACTGTTCCTGGAGTTTATTTTGGGTTATACGTGTTTGTAATGGAATAAATGGTCCTAGTTCGCTAGGAGAGAATGGGCCTTACTCATTTCCACAGTGTGTGAGCTTGACATTTGCCACTAGTGATGAAAACCTGGCTGTGGTGTGTGCACACAGTATTGAGTTCAGAAGTTCGGAGCAAAGTAAATTCTGAGTACGGCTTTAATGTATTTAGCCATGTTGACATCTTACATTTTCATGATATACATGTGTATATATATTTTTATTAAATTTTCATTGACATTCTTTTGCTAGCGTTCTCTGTATTTAGGAGGTAGGCAGGCACCAGAACCGTTGCCAGACGCTCAGGTTCTGCTGATCTTCCCTCTCTTGCTGTCAGTGGCCATTTCAGCATACAGTCTATTGCGTTTTTGTAAACTTCTCTGAGCTTTTTACATGTGCCTCCTAACTAATACTGCAGGTTAAAAGTTACTGGTAAATAATCAAAAGTTTAATTAATTACCTTAGTTATAAATCATCCAAGCAGGAAATAAGGAAAAAAAAGAAAAAGCTAGGTCATGAACCATCAAATTCCAGTAAATACTTATTCCTTCTCACTTTGATAGAAATATTCATAGAAATGGAAAGGACTGAGGGGAAAATGCAAAATTAGAATATACTTTTGTTTAAAATGGGTATGGAAATGTTTTCCACTCCCTCCTCCTCCTACTTTTTTTCCCTTTGCTGCATACAAATTGAAACATCAGTTTTTATATCACAGCTGTTCTTCAAAATGGGGAACAAGTAGGAGATTAAAATTCAGCTGCAGCCCTAAGGCTTCAGGATGATAAGGTGCAACCATGTTAGCTATCTGGTGGCGTGTTTATCATCCAGTGGACATTTTGGTGATTACTGCAGTGTTCGAAGGAAAGGGGGGGAAAAATTGGGCAGTATTTTGAATCTTCTATATATTCTTCACTGACACTTGTATCGCTTTGTGAACCAGAAAAGCGCTCCATTAAAACCAGATGTTCGCTCTGCTGCCCCTGAGGGGCTAGCATGAGAAGATGAAGGCAGGCAGTGATTATTGCTCCTTTGCTTGCTTTTTTATGTTCAGTGGAAGTGATACTGGAATTTTCCTCTCTCTAGGTGGTTTGTTTTGGATGCGGAAACGAGGGATCTGGTTTCAATACACACTGATGGCAACGAACAGCTCTCAGTGATGCGCTACTCAATAGGTAAGCAGGCTTGTTCAGAACATTTGCTGATGAGATGTCTGTTCTGTTAAATGTTGTTTAACTACTTCCCAGTCACTGGAAAAGATGGAACTTTTAAAAAAATTATTTAAAATGCTTAATGTCTAATGGAATAGTTGCTTACAGATTTGTTTGTGTATGCTAGGTCTTGGAGTTTTGTAACTGCAGACATTACGGTCACATTTCCCAGCCTTTCCTTCACACTGAGCTGTGCTGTTATAACAAATGTTAGCTTTACTCCCAGGAAAATTAAAAGTTCTCAACTACATAGTTGGCAGGTTACCAGAAAAGTCTGACAGAAGCTTAGTATTTCAGTAATATTTTAATATACCTTTTAATTAATTTTCAAGTTCATTAACACAAAACCGAAAAACTAAGCTCAGGTCTATCTGACACTCAGAGCTGTTCATTAACTATTTGCTATGGGATTACACGGAGTCCAAACCGGTATCGAGTCTCCTCTGCAGACCTGAAGTGAGATCATAGGAGGCTGAATCCTCTCTGCTAAAACTGGATGGAAGAACACTCTCGTAAATCTCTTCCCTGTTTGCTCTTGGATAACGTGCCATGTCAGTGGGCAAAACATTCCTCTGCTGCTGTCATGTCTGCCAAGTGCAGCAATTTATTGTAAAGCACCGATATTCATTGACGATGGAGGCATTTGATCGTGATGCAAGGCAGCTCTTGTCCATGTACTTTTATTTCAAATGGGACAGCACAGATTAGAAAAATGCTTCTAATGTTTGAATGCTCCACTTGTTATTTAGACAATATTGTGTTATATAGTACTGATTTGTATGCAATCCCCTGTCCAAGACTAAGCTAACTATAAACACTGTTCTGCATGTTTCATGATACAGAAAATTTAAGCCTGCCTTCTGTGAAGTTTCCAGAAATCCAGTGCAATCTGTGGATTTATACCCTGCTCATTGGACACTTACTTAAAAAAAGCAGGTTAAAGAACTTGCCCAATACCCATACCCACAACGTAAACAGATACTGACTGAAAAACAGAATAATGTAAATAGTTATGTATCCTTAAATACAATTTGTAAGCCATAGTTTAATTGAGCCTATTGTCTTAGTGATAAACCTGAAATCATTCATGTTTGGACAACAAAACATCCTCAATTTATATCAAATACTTTGTGTTGTAGATGGCACCTTACTTGCAGTTGGATCCCATGACAACTTTATTTACCTCTACGTAGTAACAGAAAATGGAAGAAAGTATAGCAGATATGGAAAATGCACTGTAAGTCTTAGAGTAGATATAATCAGCAGTTCTTGCATTTTGATGTTATACATACACTAAGATGTTAAATAGTGGAATTCTCTCTCGGTCACTGCTTTTCTGTTTTTCGTTTTGGTTATGGGTTTTACGGGGTTGTTTTCAGCATTTGATTGATTTTAAACTTGTCTGATGGGTACTGCAACCACTAGTATTAGGTGAACACTTTTGCATCAGATATGATTAATTTCTCAGGCTATTGACTTAGTCTTTGAAATGAGAAATTAGCAGTAAGTTGGAGAAATGCCTTGTACTGCAACTCTTGTGGGAAAATGTTACTTTTGTTTGGGGGTATTTTCCCCGTATTGGTAAGGTATTCCTTGGACCAACAATAACATTAGATGGTAGAATTTCGTTAGAATATGTAATTTTGGAGGTTGCAACTCTGCACTATTTTCAGCTGTAATTGTTAGTACAAAATTTGGAATTGGGAAATACGTTAATAATAAATTTTTGGCACAGGGTAAATAAATGCAGGCGTAGCACAAGTAGTGGCGTTTATATTAGTCCGTACACTTACATGAGGTTGTCCCAGTGCTGAAAAGACATACTTTTTTTTCCTTAAGTGTTTAGTTATTTAACATCCTGGCCTTGTGTGCAGCTATCTCTTTAGCTGAACTGGGAATAGTTACAGAAAGAACATCTGAACCTTAATGGGATTTGCAAATGCTATTGTAAGAATAGGTTCACATTTGACACGTGTAATGTTTCTTTTAAGGAATGCGTCCCCTGCTCAAAACACTTTTCATATGTTTGTCACCAATTGCGTTTCTTTAGTTTTAAATATAAGAGAACTTCTCAAGCTGCTTTGTTAACTTGAGAATGGGAGGTAAGGAGACCATAAGACTAAATTGTGGGAGGATTTTTTTTTTAATTATTATTGTTTCTAAGATTATGTGGTTTTATTAATTTTCTACAACCTTTGATGCAAGAGTTGCGGTGGAAACAGGGAATGAACAGCCCTTCAGTGCCATGTGTAATGTCTTTGAGAGATTTCTACCCATCGTGTGGCTGAGGATGCCCTATGGTACTAGAGCATGGGGGTCCAGAGCAGTCTGAGACCAGCTGCTGCTGTGGTGGGGGGCTGCCAGGGCAGTCAGCAGTGGTGGGTTTGCTCTGTCCCTGTGGTGTGCAGGCTGGTGGGGAGGGTTCAGCGCTGGCATGGGATGCAGCTGGGAGGGAAGGCTGCTGCGTGTGCTGGAAACTCCTCGATGGCAGGGTGGCGGTGCCAGGGTGAGCCAAGGCATACTGCAGTGGTGTCAGGGTTAGCCGATAGGTCCGTAGCCTTCCCGAGCTCAGGCAGTGGGGAAAGGACTGAGCTTACAGGGAGTCAGGCTAGGGGCCCAGTGGGGGCTGGGGGGAACGGCAGCAGACGGCTGTGCCTCAGTACAGCATTTCACCCCATCACTTAAAACCGTAAAAGATAAAATCGCTCAGAGATGGCTAATCTTAACATACGTAATACTTAGCTTGCCATGTACTTCAAGGTCTCTGAGCTCTTTGAAGATGCATGAGAGTGTTTGTTTCTGTATTATGTATCAGGAGAGAGCATATTGTAATTTAAACCAGCATCTGCATGTCTTTCTGTCCCTCTGCCTTGGCAGGAAAGAGGTTTGTAAAACTTGGGATGGGAGAAATGAATACTCAGGCAGAACCATTAAAGCTTCAAAGCAGATTTCTTTTCACCATTTTTTTCATTCTGAGTGACTGTCTGTAGAGGCCAAAATTAGCAACCTGGTTTCTGTCAGGGCTGAGGTCCCCTGACCCTCCTGGCTTGCACAGAAGGCAGCAGCGTTGAGGCCGCCCCGAGCCAACGCTGCTGGTCGGGTTTCACATGCCCCGTGCCTCCCCTCCGCTGCCTGCCAGC